TTTCTTTGACCTTTTTTTTCGAGGGTGGAATGATTGTACAGCACACATCTTTAATTGCTTTGAAAAACAGGTTTGAATTTATTTAGGATTTTCTTTAGAGTCAGAAGCATATGTACAGCCTCAAATAGAGACAGCCAGTGTCTTTTAGTTTGAAAAGACTAAGAACATTTTACTTCTCATTAGTGATCGTGATTTACTGTAACTGGTAGTTTCTTTTTGACAGCACTCATTGGACAGACCAGTATTTAGAACAATGGAAAAGTCCAAGGAAGGCAGTGAAAATCTAAGAAGAAGAATTGTAGATGTGCACAAGTCAGGAAAGTCTCTTGAAGTCATTTCTAAAGAACTGCAGATTCCAGGATCGAACAATTGTCCGTAGGCACAGGTTATTCAGATCTGTCACCACTTTGTCAAACTTTGGATGAAGACCTAAAGAAGACCCTCATCCTCACATGAGAGGCAACTGGTTAAGATGTTTAGGAACAACCCAGGAACCAAAGAGGTTCAGGTCTGCATGAACTAGAAACTGCCAGAAGATACAGAAATAACCACCTTCAAGCTTGACTGAAATTTGGAGTTGCCCACATGGACAAACCAAATGCCTTTTGGGGGAAAGTTATATAGCCTGGGGCTTCTGGAATGGCCTTCCAGAAGCCCCGAACTCAACTCTACTGAAAATTTGTGGACTACGCTTAAAAGCCAGGTCTGTGCCAGGGCACATACCAATCCTATCAAGAAATGTGGTAAAATATCCATGAAGAATTATGCAAGAAACCTGCTGGTGGCAAGCAAATGCATCTACTAAGAGACATTTAACCAAATATTTGTGAGTATACATGTATCTACTTGAGTCTATTGGTATAGTTTTGACTCTGTGTGGATATAAAAAAAAATCCTAAATACATACAATTTGTGCACCCAGTTTTGTTTTTTTTTAACGTTATTAAAAATGTGTGCTGTAAAATCATTCCACCGCAGAAAAAGAACAGTTCAGAGAAATAAGTAAAAGCCCCAACATTGCAGTGACATTCATGCATATGGTGAGTGTATGTACTGCAATGCTTTAAGGTTCATTTGTAGTCATGTTCAGAGATTGAGCATAGCAAAGCAGTTCAGCTGCTGCAGGACGGGGCTCAAACAACACAAAACATCTTCCCGAAATCCAACCTGCATCTACAGTGGCACCTGAAAAATGTCTTGCACGAATAATCTTTAGAAGAGAGTTAAAATATAGGCTGGTAGGTCAGTATGTTCTCCAGTATATGGTTAGTATTTAACAGAGATTACATTTAAGTTGAAACAATTAACTGGCAAATCAGAAATGCATGTAATAATTAAAGTGGACATTTCTAATGCTTACATCTGGCTAATTACAAAAAAAGAAGAACATCTTTAATTTCCTTTTTGTCCCTTTAAGCCAGCTTTTTTTCGTACTTTCGTGCTCTGTGCAGACAGAAAGTTTGGAGGCTGCAGGTGGGTCGAGCTGCTGTGCTCTTCATGCAGAGGTCAGACTAGAAAACTGACTGAAACCAAGCCTTTAGAGCAGTATACACAGGCACAATACAGTGACCTTAATACTTGAAATTTTGGCCGTGTTAAACATGAACCTCCACTGTCACAAGAGACAGTGCACATGGAGCGCAGGTATTTTCAGCTGCTCCCTTATTTCCCAAGAGGTCGCCACAGAGGATGGATCTGCATATTTGATTTGGCACAGATTTTACACCAAATGTTCTTCTTCCTGCAACTTTATCCAGACTAGGAGTACACTAGCTTGTGAATTCCACTGGGGCTTCGTTTGTGTTTGCTCCAAGTTCAAACCCTTCACGTCTTAGGCAAACATGTTTATAACCTTGGAGCCACAACAGCTTACAGGTCTGTGAAAAACTATGTACACTCTCTGATTCAGGAGCTTATAGGAAAACTTGAAGGAATCACCATCTGTGTGACTTTATCAGTCTCTCACATCACTGGAGGAATTTTGGTTTACTCGTCTTTACAGTGTTACTTGAGTAAATTCAAGTTTACAGGCATTCGTTTATGTACAGCTCTCTTTTTCCCAGCACAGGTCCAATCAGGTTGAGGTCTGGCTTTCTTTTTCTGACATTATAGATTTAAAGTTGTATATTTTCTGCTGTGCCTGGGATAATTGTCCTCTCCTTCAGATGTTAGGCGGATGGGAACATTTAACACGCTAACCGAGGCCTGTAGAGTCTGGCATATGTAGCACTTGGGTTTTTGCATTTGCTCAGAATAAATCTGTTCACTGCTGTAAAGATTATGGCATCGTGTTTACACATGCCTGAACGCTCCACACCAGCAAACTGCCTAAACCTCTGCTTTTAAAGGTGTGCACATATTTGCTGGTGATCAGTTAAGTGCATTTGATTAGCAGCACCTGGCTGCTGCTTGCGCTCTTAATTCTCGTGGCGGTAATAAGGCTGTGCTCATTTTTTTCTGAGGCCCTGGAAATGCTCTTTTCCACATGAATGTATACAGAGCATGTGACACAGTAAAAGGAAAATGCATAACCGGTCCACTTCTAAGCCTGTGACATTATGCAGTATGTCAGTTAGGGCTGCCACGATTAGTCGACTAGTCACGATTACGTCGACTATCAAAATCGTCGACGACTGATTTAATAGTCGACGCGTCGTTTGAAGCTTTGTAAGATCACAAAAGATGCAGGAATAAGTAGTAGGATTTAAGAGTGTAATAACGGACTGAAACAGAAGATGGCAGCACTAGATGTACAAGGATGCCAGCTGCCGTTTAACCCCGAAGAAGAAGAAGCTGTGTCCCAGAATTCATAGCGCGGCCCAGCTCAGTTTCCAACGATGGCGGCAGCTAGTTAGTTTTAATGTTACTCTTATTATTCTTTCTGGGTCACAAAATAAACGTTTAACATATTTTCAGGCGAGGATGTAGCTGTGTAAACCTCAAATATCTGCTCAGTTTATCAAGACACCACATATTTTCAAAAGCGCTCCGACGTTTTCGGAGACGTTTGTTACCCACTAGCTCGATAGCTAGGCGGGGGCAAGGCTCACTAGAGCCGTGAGAACACCGGATCTCCTGGCAAATCGTTTTCAAACCCACCGCAGTCTTTCGCTACTCAGGTTAAACATGATATATAAGTCACTTAGATAACTTAAAATGTTATTGTTTGGCTTTTTTATTTTTAGTTAGCACATATCTTAAACACTTAAAGCTTTAAGCTAATGATAGTTATATAAGAGCAGATGCATTATTATTATGCATCTGCTCTTATATACGTAAAACGTATGCTTTAAGCTGTACGTTTTACCTCCAATGGATGCATGATCTGATTAGTCGACTAATCGCAAAAATAATCGGTGACTAGTCGACTATCAAAATAATCGTTTGCCCTAATGTCAGTGCAGCCATGTCCTTGCTTACGAGAATCCACTAAGTTAAAATAATTGTCACTATACCGAGTCTAAATACAACAGTCCTGTAATACACCCGGGCTTCATTAAGTGCTGATTCAGCTTCAGTTTGTGTTCCTTTTAAACTGCATGGCTCTATACTTTATTATGTTTCTGTTATTTTGTTTATATCTGCACACAGCAGCTCATTAGCACCCCAAACTACACACTACAAAATTATCATATAGTTGAATCAGCACCTCTCTGAACAGTTAGAGCATCGTATCCTTCATGGGGTTTGGGTTTACTGCATGTCTGGTGTATGAGACCTCATTAGTTGTCACACTTCCGTTAAGAATTTGGTGTCCTTATTAAATTAGTCTTTGTTTATGCCCCCTGCTCACACACACAGTTTGTTTGCTTTGTCCGGTTTCACCTCATGTCAGGACTCGGTGTGTTTTTTGCAAACTGTGTTTGGTTCCTGCTGTAAGGAAGAGCTGCGAGGACGTCCATCTCTTCTGTCTCCACTGTGGGACAGAACTCAAGTTTAAACCAAGAGTTAAAAGCATTTGTTTCTGAATATTAAGTTATTATAATCTGAGCAAGCCACCATTTTTATCACAAATATGTTGTTTAAACATCATTTTCTTTTTTTAAACATCAGGATCTGGTGTCGTTAAACTGATGCAGATTAAAGGGCAGTAATTAGGCTGTGGTATGCAGCTACAGTAAACAGCATGATTGATTTTGGTTATCTGTAACGTGTCAGTTGTTTATTTCTGCCTTTGATCATTCTGCAGGCTTCCTCTCATGGTTCAGGAACGGTCTGCTGGCGACCGGGATCGGAGTCATCGCATTCGTCCAAAGCGATGTGGGACGAGAAGCAGGATATGGTACGGGAAAGTTATATGTGCAGAAGAGCTGAAAACCAGACCATTTAAGCCTAAGCCTGTTTGTAAAATACGCTTAAAATTTAAATAAAGTAACAAACGGTCGATGCAGCTCTAAATTTAAGATCAAGAGGATTTTTAAACTCTGTTTCTCTCTAGAAGATATTTTTTATCTAAAAATGTAAACATACGTCTGTTGTTTTTGTGAAGTAGAAAACTTTGTAATGGGCACTTGCTGCACTTTTAATATGAATAATTTCACAAGGATTCCTGCAATTGACTTGAAACAGAGTCAAAATCCTTGATATCTAGTTGTAACCAACATCATCATTACCTGACACGTGAGATTAGGCCCTTAAAATTTTATTAAAGAAGACCTTCATGGAATCAATATTAATTGACAGCTGATGGGCATGAATATTTGAAAACTGTCTGAAAACAAAACTTTCGAGCCACAGCAGTAAATCGAAGGAACGCGGTATTATTTATGTCAAAATAAAAGCTGCTGACCTACTTGATGTATTCTCAATGCTAAATCACGGGAACGGTTTGTATAACTTCTGAAATAAGTTTGATGCCAGAAAATCTTCCACTTAATCTTTTATTTTAATCTGAATAATTAAAAGGAAAAGTCGATTCAACCTGCCTCCATGCCAGCTTTAATTACAGTGACTTATGAGGAAATTAATTGGGTTTCTACAATAATACCATGTCAATCTGTTTTTCCTCAGCCTTCTTTATCCTGGGAGGTGCGTGCGTGTCGTTTGGCGGTGCCTCGTATATTGGCAGCCTCTTTGCCTTGCGGAGGATGATGCTGCTGTCTGTGCCAGCACTGCTGTTCCAAGGAGCCGTGGTGGGCAGCGTCGCCCTCTTCTGGCTCTGCGCTGTATCGCTCTACATCGGACGATTAGAGGTGGAGATCATCCACGAGGGAGAGGAGGGAGAGGATGAAGAGGAGTGCCGAGAGTGCCGGGAGAGGCGCGAAAACCGGGGTTACCGTGGCCCCCGCGACAGTGAGGACAGTGACGGCAAGGGGCAAAACAAGTAGAGGTCTTCCAGGAATGCAGAGTGGAAAGCTGTGCATGTGTGCTGCTCCAATTCAGGGTTTCCCTTATTTCTATGTGTGTGGATTTTGTGTACATGTGCGTGTATAAGCAGCCTACATATGCAGGCCATGTGTGAGTCTGTAGATACGATCTTATTATCTGTTGTTATCAAGATGAATATTAATGTGGGGAAAGACTTTTAAGACCTTTTTGAAAACTGGTCGAAGAAATTTGTGAAACACGCTGGTAAATGGGTAGTTTAACTACCTTCGAAAATAAATCAACATTTTGTAAGTTTTGTTATAACTACATGTAGCCAGAGCTGAGTCTCTTACGTCATCAGTCTGAATTGTTTTCTTTTTCTTTTTACATTCTGCAAAGACTCGCTGAGAACGCCACGTTATTTCTTCAAGTTTACTTTTTGCTGCCCTATATCATTTTAATCCTCATTCACAGCCAACTGTTGTTGGGTGCTGTTTGTCTTATTCAGTATAATTAACTGTGAATGACTACTTGAAGTTTTCTTGAAAATGTGGAACTAAAACAAGCTGGATGTGATAAACTGCGAGACCTACGAGGAGGACTGCGGAGTGTGTGTTTCAGGTCTGTAATTTTGTTTTGATCAAAAATCTCTGAGGGCTTTTAATTTGTTTTTTTCCAGCTTTTTTTTTTTTTTTTTTTTCATTATTATTTTGTTTTCGAAGGGCAATAGCACTTCTGTCGCTTTAGTTTGAAACTTTAGTAACTACAGTTTTAGAAGCAAAGCCTATTTTTCACAGGCTTTCCTGTGATTATTTACACACACTCTGTATTGCTGTAGCCATGTTTCTGAGTGAATTCCACACTATAATCACTATGATTGCTTATTTAATGGATGTGAAGGGTTGTTGATCATTAAAGAGTTTGAATGCAGATGTGGAGATGGGGTTCAACATTGTTTACTTTTTTTTTAATGCACGACTTCCTGTGCACTCTACTGTAAATACAGTAATAAAGCAAGAAGAAATCTGTCGAGTTACATCAGTGCGTATTCTTTAATGACCCATCGAATGAGACCTCAGATACGTTTGTTGTTGGTGTTTTTGACCAAACTCTACGGAGAGTTTCATAATAGACGAATTATCTCATAAAATGTGATGAAACTGATCAATTATAAATCCCCCGAAGGGCATGTTCTCAGTGACTTCAGGATTAACAGCTGGGGCCATTTAAAAAAATCACTAATATGGAGAGCACACACATACTGTGAATAAATACTTGCGGACATACATGAGAAGGGGAGATGTGTAAACATCTCTCCTGCATCTTAAGAAATCAAAAACCTTCAGCTGAAGCAAATTATCAAACCACATAAATCTCAACGTGTATATTGCTTTTTAATTATTTTTTTTGGTTCATGCAGACAGCGCCCAGTATAATGTATACGTGCTGTCAGAGTTTGTAGTTAAGGCTCCCTGCAGCAGGAGTCAAAAGATGTAAAAACTGTCCGTGCACACATAGACGTCTATTCATGCTGTACATGAATAATTTTTATAACGAGCTGCTCATCGGCGAGCATGTGTGAATATCTGAACTCAAACGGGCAGCATGTGGTTGTGTGTGTGTGTGTGGGGGGGGGAGTGTTAGTCATGGGGGGGCTTTGTCTGTGATTACTATCTCTGACTGGGTTAGGGCGAAGGTCTGTGATATCTCCCAGCTATCGACACACAGTGTTGCTGTTGAGACTCACCTCGGAGTCACCCTCTCCTCCTCTCCTCTCCTTCTTCACTCCGGCTGTCCTCTCCTTTCCTCCCACCTCTCCTTTGCAGATTCCCATGGCGTTTTGGAGCAGTTGTGTTTCACATGCAGGGTGCGAATAGGCTAGATGGCTACTGCAGCAGTGTGACGAACACACACACACACACACACACACACACACACACACACACACACACACAATCACCTCCTCCTCCCCTTTCAGCTCTCTTCCTCAGATCCTCTTCTACCCTTTCACCCTCAAGTCCTTTCTTTCTGGTCTCCTCCTCACGTTCCCTACTCCTCCCCTCCCACCTCTTCTCCGTTTCGCTCCTCCGTGGCTGCATCTGACTGCACAGGTCTGTTTGGCATGCAGGAGGCTCCTGAGGCCTGGCGCGTCTAAAGGGCAGTGCGCCCAGAGGCAGGAGACGCGCCCTCACTGATAAACACCATCTACGCCAGACCCAGAGCAGCTATAGGAACCATAACGCCAGCACAACATACCCCAAAGTCCAGGTCTGGCCTCATACATCTCCAAACCTCAGCTTCACATCTACGCTCTCAGCATCGAAAGTTGGAGTCTTAACCTCTGCTTATTTTGAGCGCCGAGTGCTCATCTGCTTTCAGGTGTTAAATGCCATACGTACGGATCAAAGGATCTGCCTTAAGAACTACATTAAGTATGGATTGGCCTTCTCCTGGCTGAGAGGAGAAAGGGGTGATTGTTGGGAAACAATGACAAAGATGAAAATCATAGAGGTAGAAAAGAATCAGGGAAAAAGAGCCTGAGAAATGTAGTGAGCCCATGTCAGATGGAAACTGTCTGGCTGTCTCCCTCCGTCCTTCACGCTATTATTCCTTTCCATATTTGTACTTTTTTTTTCAAATCCATTTACATGTGGTAAGGTATTTCCCCAAGGAGCACGACTCTAATTCAAGGGGTAAGATAAGCCATCAAAGTTAGTGACAGAGAGGGCGTACGGGTGGCTCAGTGACAGGCTGAGAAGAAGACAGTCAGGAGAAATGCCACCGCCACACACACACACACACACACAAATAACCCACGGTGATTTAATCTGCAGAAGCCGCACCTTTACTTCCCTCTATAAAGATGTTACTCCATAGAAAAGAAGAGATAAAGAAGAAAGGTTATTTTGTAACTCAATTCACGGCACATCAGCACACACGCACACACACACACTTATACAGTACATACGGTTTTGCACGTACAATGGCATTTTCTCCCCAACAACTGCTCTTGTTTAGTATGCGCTTCCTTTGGTCTTGAGGAGGAATGATCCTCACTCTAATGAACTAGGGCCTGCCACTTGAATGTAAAACAGGATTTAACCCGTCTTCAATGTCAGAGCCCCTCCCTGGGGCTGCTTCAGACAACACACACAAATTCACAGAAATGCACGCACACACACACACAGACAGACATGCAAGCAAACGGCCAATGTACACACACACGTGGTAATGCATGAACACCTATAAGTGAGAGACTCTCTGCGCTACAAACTATCTATCTATCTATCTATCTATCTATCTATCTATCTATCTATCTATCTATCTATCTATCTATCTATCTATCTATCTATCTATCTATTTTAATAAAGAACTGTGCAAGAATCAACACATCCTCTCTGCATTTGTCTTCTAAGTACTCAGAATATGCATGTTAAATGAAAAGAATTAACAAATGTGAGTGCAGAAAAAATTGTATCTATTTAAATCACATGAAATCTCAAGGAGCTATATGTAGAAATCGAAAGCATCAACACATTTAAAACTTCAGATATCACAAATGCTTACTCTCCACGCCTGCGAAAGCAAGAAAGAAACAACCGACATTGAGTTGTGCTCCTCTACTGGAATATTTTATTGTTATCATCATCATCATCTGTATCACTGTTATTATTTTTACATTTGTTCATTTTATTTGACGAGTGGGTGGAGTATTCACAAAGATGGGAGAATAATGTTAGATTCACAGTGATGGGCGAGGGGTTAGCCGTTTAATTCAACAACAACAGAAAAACCCAAAAACAAAACAAAATCCAAACTCACTCACACTTTTAACAGGCGAACACGCCCGCATTCAAACACACACACACACACTTATTATACCAGTAAACACCCGAGAATATGTGCGCTGACACATATTTGTAGTATGGGTGTGTAGTGCACCCTTTCCCCCGCCCCGTCTTTTTTTTAAAACCCCCACCCAGCCCCACCCCGCCTCTGTCAGACGTGACGATATGAGCGGTTCCATAAAGCGAACCCTCAGATCAGGCTGTCGATCATAATCTCAATTTAGAAGAAGGACAAAGAAAATAGTGCCAGAAGGCCTGGCTTTCAACAAATTGCTGTATATATAAATTTACATGTATTTGGCTAACATGGCAGATCAGACGACCTTATTACAAAGTGCTAGACTGTTTTTAACGTATCTCTCTCACAGCTTATATCACTGCATATCGTGGTTAAATTTTATTCTTCTCACTTCTTTTTCCTGATGAGTTTGGCCGGGTGAAATTTCCAAATGTTATTATTTATGAATTCTCCTTCTTCTTTATTATTTTAGTTGTGATTTTCTTACACATATATGTATAATTTTGTTTTAGTTGTTTCATTTTTGCCAAGTCAAAAGTGTTTTGTTTTTCCTGAGAGGAGCTCCAATCAATTGCTATGAAACTGAAATTTAAAGTGTTTCATATCCCCACTTTTTAATTTAAAACTTTATCTCCAGTTGACTCGCTTGAACTGAAACCAATATCAGAACAATTCTGTTTTGTTTTATCGACCTCCGACGGTCACATTTTAATGACCACATGTGGTCTTGTTTATTTACCTGCCTTTCTAAATGAGCATTTATATCCCCCACCCCCCCACCCCCACTCCACATACCGTGCTCAGGCTATGATATTAGCGGCCGCTCTTGCATTGTTTTCTGTTTTAACAGGATCACACGCCGAACCGTGAAGTGCTTTAGAGTTCACACCAGAACAAATTTCGGTAAGTGCTCAGAAAAAAAAACAAAACATGTTTAAATGATAAAAACACTTCTGTCCAGCACATTTCCCCTACTAAAGCATTTTCACATTTTTTTTCATCCACTAAAACAGTCGTATTTTAAACAATTTCCCAATCGGTTTCACCTGGTGAAGAAAAACAATATAAACCTAAAAACAAACAAGAATATGGCTTTCATACACAAACACAACTGCAGCATTGTACATTGTCATGATACACTAGAAGTCATAATCAGTTAAACAAATCGCCTTCCTATAATCAAACAATACAAGTAGCGTCCTGTCTGCATTGCATTTCCTTCCCTTATATATAATGGAATGTCTGGGACTACTTTAATCATACTTTTGTCCCAAAAGTGTGCTTTTAGTATGGCTGAATCGATGAATACTTGGATCTTTTTTTCAATATTATTGTTTTATATTATTATTTTAAGTATCGATACAAAACACCAAAAAGCTGTCTCCACCTATTTTAAGTTGAAACTCTATAATCAAACTGTCACCCGGAGCCCACTGAAAGAGATGATTTGTATAATACTGCAATAATAAAAATTTATATTCCAAAGTCATTTTTATTCCTACAGACGAGTGCCCATCTCTTCCTACTGGTTTTAGGGTTAATTGGGTTAATGTGCGGTGACGGACATTGACGGTGAGGATGTGAGCTGAGGGTCGTCATGGTTTTCTCTCTATGTACAATATGGCTTCTCTGAGTGGAAGAGACACATAAATCAACACAGTCATCTAGAGAAAGTCACAGAGCAGAGTTCGTTGTTGTCGCGAAGATGAAAAGTCTTGAGGGACAACCAGTCAAAAGTTTCCATGTCCCCGTTTCTCTGAGAGTCACTGTCACTCGTACACAACAGGCTGACATGATAAAATCCTATGGCAGCGGCTTGTCACACACTTTAGATTGCAGTTATTCAACTCATTGTCCAATTAGTAACGTCCTCAGAGGTTTAATCTACTGCCACTTCTGTCTCTCCTGCCCTTTTCAATGTCTCTCTTTCCGTCCTGTCACTCCGCTCTCTCCTTCAGTTTATTTTCTCCTCTCACATCCTCCCCTCTGAGACTCAGTCCTCCTCTGTGCCCGCAGCCCCCCTCAGTCCATTCATACAGAAGGGCAGGCTAGAGGAGAAGGGGCTGTCAGATGGGGAGAAACCACTGAAGGGTGGAAGGCCGGCCAGCCGCTGTAGGTGGGGGAAGAAGGCCGGTGGGGGTCCCTTGTGGTGGTCCGAGCGTAGCTGCAGGCCATCACTGTGTCCTGTGCTGTGGTGGTGGGAAGGGGGGAGCTCAGGTGGAGCGTAGCGGATAGTGCTTGGGGCATAGAGGCTCTGAGGGCCCTGCGGGCCGAGGGCAAGGGGGTGGAAGAGGACCCGGCCCGCTGCACTTCCAGCAGCCAGTCTCTGAAGCAGCTCAAAGTCAGGACCGTTACCTAAACCACCACTACCGCCACTGCTCCGGCTGACCACCCCCGCCGACACAGCCCTGTCCTCGCGGGGCAACGGGGAGGACACGGGCATGGCGGGGGACAAAGCTGGGGACGGGGGAGTGAACAAACCCTTCGGTGGAGCTTCGCTGCTGGAAGAGGAGTCCGGGATCGGGGTGGTGGGGCTGTCACCATTGAGGCTGCTGGACGGCGTGTGTGCATGCGAGGGCTGGGGCTGAGTGGTGTGTGTGTGGGAGGTGGAAGTTTGAGTGTGTGATCCCCAGCGCCCCCCGGTGGTCAGGGCTTCATGCTCAGTCTTGATGCCTGGGCTGCCGGGCAGGGGAGATGGAGTCACTACACTTTTCAGCTGCTGGATCACAGCCCGGCCATTGTGCACCCTCCCTCCCCTCTCCCCTCTCGTCGGGGTGTCTCCTCCTCTGCTCTGTTTACCTCCTCCTCCGCTGTCTTCCCGTTTCAATCTGTCGCTGTCGCCTCCCTGGTCCCACTCGGTTTCATCTTCCTCTTCCCCCTCGCTTTCGCTCGCCAGGTCTGAGGAGGCAGAGACACTCTCCTCCGTGTGACGGAGCTCCTCCAGTCTGCGACGGGTTTCGGGAGGTGCGCCCTCCGGGTCAGACCTCAGCAGGCGCTTCCTCCTGTCCTCTGATTGAATGGCCGTGGTGGTGAATTTGTCTCTGCCTTTAGTGTCAGGGTCGCTTTTCCCCACTGAGCTCTTCACAGGTTGCGAGCCTGAGGAGGAAGGAGATTTTTATGACACGATGAGGCACGGGCGAGTGCATCAATGGGACGTCACAGTAAGGTAGCAATGTACGTAGTGTGGTACCTCGGGCCTGTGTGGAGCCATCGGTCGGGGACGAGCTGATTCGAAGTCGCTCTGCTCTTATGCTCTCTGGTAGCTGCAGCAGATCCAGGGGAGTGTCGGGCAGCTCTGTTCGACTGGATGGATAGATGTAAAAAAAATGGGAAAAAAGAGAAAGGGAGAGAGTGAAAAGCTGGATGTATACACAAATCATCTACCACTTAAAGCCACTTACACTTAAAAAAAAACAGGAATGCCATGCTGATTTAAGTGAATACTTAGAGATGGAAACAACATATAATCAGCCTAATAACTACCTCCAATAGCCAAACTGCCTCACACCCTTCTAACCTCCATCTAACACACACTCACTCCTTCCAACAGCCCTTATCACACATGCACAAACACTGACACATGCAAACAGACACACAGGCAGACCGCACCCCCCGAAACACACGCAGATGCACACACACACACACACACACACACACACACACAAATGCTCCACTCAGCAGCCCACCTATACACAGTTAAGCTCAGACAAGGAGGAGGCTGTTGGAGAAGTTAATGAGCTCTTGTAATTACAGCACTAATTAACTAAAACACCATTCAGCCCCAAAATTCTGACATCCATTTGTTGTAATTATATAGCTTCAGTCCAATTAGCATTGAAATTCAGCCTACTCCTCTTGTTTTTGTCTGACTGCTCTGCTGCTATGCGCGCGTTCTGTTGTGTTCTCTCGCGCTCGCTCCGTGGTAAACACACCAAAGCCTTAAACAAAGGTAATACGACACTTAAAAGGTAATTTATATTTAAAAAGAAATCAAGGTGCAAGGTTTTTCAAAATTTTCTTAATCTGATTTGGAGCTTTCTGTAACAGGGTGTCTGCTTATTCAGAATAATAGCGTTAAATAACAATAGAATAATGCATAAAGGAACATTATGCAGGATGAAAAAAAACCCGAACTGCAAAAGGTATGAAAAAGTGATAACTTTTACTAATTACTATTTAAAATACAAGATAAAATAAACACTTGACTGTCGAATGAGGAACATTTTGAAAGAAAAAGTACGGCTTTTTGAAGCCGCAAATTTTACTGTATGTTGGTCGTGACGCATAGAAACTGTCAGAAACATTAGCAAATTCAAACTAATCTAAAAATCTATTAAAAGAATAAGAAGAATTTAATGATATTTTAGCCAATCTTTCAAGATTTATAATAAAATCAAAAATAACCATTACATTAATTAGGCAGTGGTTTGCTGCTTTGATCTCCTCGTTTCGTGTGTATCCTTACCAGTTTTCTCACATGCTGGAATAAATAAACCTCCCTATCCCAATAATCCCTCTACATTTCATCAGCTATCCCTTCAAAGGGTCTCTGTACACAGTGTGATGCCTGCATACATAAAACGACTTCCTAACAGCACTCGTGGAGAAACGGCGGTTTCAGCTTTGCTCCGGTTCTACTGACCTCAGGACGTAGTTAACCCAGATAACGTTGCGTTCGTGGGGGGCTTTGTGGTTGATGGACACAGTGGCAGTGGACTGGATCCACAGGTACCCTCCTCTCCTCTGGAGCCAGCGATAATAACCAGTCACTACCTGGCCTTTTCTTAGCACTGAGGAGCAAAGATGGGAAGAAAAGAAACCTGTAAATGGTTTGACAGTTCATGAAGGTGGCAGCAGAGGGCGCCTCTAACAACAGTACAGGAGGAGATTTCAACAGGCTCTTGTAGCAGCTCTGCCAAGTTCAGATACTTGAAGAAAGAGAGGGATGGGGATGAACATCATATATTATACATATCCATATGTATGTGACTCACAGTCCTCGTGGCTCTGCCGGAGGTTCTCCAGGTCTTCTACATGGATGAAATGGTAACAGGTATGTCCCACTACCTCTGCTGGAGTCAGATCCATATACTCAGAGATCCTGTAGAGCATTGGAGGAAGAAAAACAAACAAACAAACAAAAAACACACACACACATTTGTCAGCCAAACAGAAGCAGATGTGTGTGCTAACACCACCAACTGGCTGGGTGCTCTGCCAGCTCCTCATGAAAAAACATGAAAGATAGAGCGACTCCCAAAAGGCAAAACAATAGATGGATTACCTGTTCTCACAGTATGTAACCTGTAGGTCCATGTTCACTCGGAACACAAACATGTGGCTCTCCATGCGGACTTCATTAAGCGTGGAGGGCGGGAGAGTGTGCGCCAGCGAAACCAAACCCATCGGTCGACGCACTGATCGGGTGGAGCCCGGGACGAGAGCGGGGCGGCAGCGGATTCGTCCCGTCACGTGGATTACCTGACAAGCACAAAGTCTTTCTTACGCACTCATACGCACAAGTCAGTCTATAAGAGGATTACTAAATAAAGATCAGGTGGAATCAGAGCTGTTTGATGCACTGATTTAGAAAATGTAGCATTTATCAATATGTAATAAACTTGGACATATTAGCAGTGAGCGCAGTAAACTGTGATACGTGGAGCGGTTCAGAGCGAAATAAGGGCACAGCCATAAAATATACTGGCAATGACCACCTTGTGCGTGTGTGTGAAACACCAGCAGCACAAACCCAAATTGTTATTTTATTCCGAACACATGCAAGTAAGCTAAGGAATGCATAATATGTTCTCAAATTATGGTGGCGCATTTCCTCTCATACCTTGTATCCAGAAGACTTGACATGCAGGCCTCTTTTGGTGAGCGTGGACTTCATGCGGATGAAAAAGCCACGCTCGGGTGGATCGTCGGCAGGAGAATGAGGACTGGATGGAGCTGCTGGGGATGAGAAAATAACATTAGCTGTTTCAAGAATATTTTTTTTTGACTTTTGTCTTAGTAATGCCATTTGAGCACAGTGAATTGTTGAAAATCATATTATGTATTTGTTATATTTCTTTCTGCTTTCTTGCCATGACAGTACCGGGTTCAGGGGTACCAGCTAAGGAGGAGGTGGACGCAGAGCTGGAAGCGCTCTCAGGGGCTGTGTGACAGCCGGCCTCGGCCCGTAGATGTGGCCTGATTCCCAGCCGCTCCGCCATCTCGACGTGGTCCGCTGGGTGGATGTAGTCGAACACACTGCTGCCAGTCAGCTCCACCTGAAGAGAAGCACACACAAACCGATCAAAACCAGACGCTTTGTGCAAAAATAACTATACGTGAGCGAGCACACGCCTACAAATACACACAGACACACACAGACACACACACACAAGTGCACTGAAAAAAAAATCAATATATGTTATGACGGGAAAATGAAAGTGCCGCTCTGGGTTACAACTGAACAAGGAATGAGAGGATGTAAGACAGCCCCACCTGCCACCCCTCCAACATGCTCGCGCACACATACACACACACATTTAAGTCCTGTCTCGGAGGATCAAGTGACTACAGTGCTACACAAATAAAACCAGGAGGAGATAAAAATCAATTGTATTTGCTGATTAAAAACAGGTGAACTCCAACTATCTCCAAAGGTCACATTACTATACTTCTTATTCCCCGTGTCCCTCCCAGCTCCTTCATTCAGTTACAGTCTATCCCAGCAGGCAGCAGCGTAACAGCTCATACAGCTCTATATGATCCTATCATCATAATGCATCATAGTCGCATCTCTAATCATTTAAAGGCAATAATGGCACTGCTCTTGCATGGCATCCATAAAAGCGGCACAATTGAAGAAGGTGTGATTCCATCTGAAGCAGCATGAATAAGTGTGTGTGTGTGAGAGAGAAGCAGAAAAGGGGGGGCATGCATGCTTACACACATCTATGCAGGTTCCATTACATCTGTGAATGTGTGTGTCTGTGTGTGTGTGCGCGCATTTGTGTGTGTGCCAATACTATTCCATCTGATAAAGCCGTGGCTGCAGCAGCCTCACACCCTTGTCTGTAGGACACAGCCATTTATTACCGGATTAGAGCCATTTACTGCAGGCTTTATGGGAGCTTCAGCAGGCCCTCAAGGACATCACAGCCGGGGGAGAGGAAGAAGGGGAACAGGAAGGCGGGAGCAGGCGAATAAGAGCGATCGACAATGAGGGAACAGAGAGGGGTAAAGATGTAGGAAACCCCACCGAGTGAGGGGAGATGACAGACGAGGTTTTATCACCCCTTATGTTATTCAGCGCCAGACACGCAGGCCTTAATTTCTTGGGAGACGGTGCCACATTTCGCAACTGCGCCACCTGTAATAAACATATTATTAAATACTAGATTTGATGGGCACCATATGGAGAGGCTGCCCTGCATACTTGCAAGACTCGAAAAGTAATTATCCCGTAACAACTGTGCTACTGTCACACTTTGAAAACGTGCGAGAACGGCTGACCATGCTGACCTGGGAACATATTTGGATAGATATTTGAGGATTTTAATATCTGATAGCATCAAGACAATAATAAATGCAGTTACTGAGAAAGTCCAAGATAAGAAAAATCAATTAAATCTTATGCATTTTAACCATTAAGACATTGAGCAACACAGGTTTCAGATAGTTCAGGGGTCTAATAAAAAGCGGAAACCTCAAAATATATGCCCCCCTACACAAAGGGGAATTAAATGAATGACATTATTTACATTTCTTTTCTTTATAAAAATGTCTCTTTTCTCAGCTAACCTCATGCATCACATAAGAGCACACTGGATCGCAGCTCCCACAGTGATAAGCAGAAGCTCTGATAACGGCTCAGCAGAGTAATATACAGCAAGCGTGTGTGTGTGTTTGGCTCTCAGTTGGCAAACTCTTTTCACTTTTTCACTTCCAAAGACTGTGCTGTTGAGGTCTAATGTATTTATTTCTCCCTCGTTCTCTGTCCAGCTCTAACAGGTGAGGCTGGTAAATGTGGAGACCAACAGCACTGTGCTAGCTGACCTTCACGTACGTCAGCAAACTCTTTTTAATCAAGAATTTTTAACACGAGGAAAATTCAGTGTTTTTGTTTACCGATCCTTCTTCTCCTCAGCGTCGATAATACGTCAGCACTCTACAGCAGCGTGCTTTTTGAGTCTGACATCAAAACTGACTCGTTCATTAATGTTTTAAAGTTAAGAGTTTGCAGCTGTCCATTAAATGGCTGGATATCTCTATTAAACTCTGGATGAACCTCGCTTTGAGCTTTTCATGTTACCGATTATATCAGCATCTATCTGTCTGTATACTTATCCATGTATATGTAATTGTTAGCACATTGTCATTTTCAAGGACCAAGTCTGCTCAGAACACTGGACCAGTCATTTGAAAGAGGCAAAATCCCTCGACCCGGTGGTGTTGAAAAACAAGGCAGAGAGGCGAACAGGTCCTTATGGGCTTTACCGGGCTTAAGACCTATCCGAATAATATCACTTCATCTCAAGCAGGAGGGCGAGATTGAAAAAAGATCAGACAGAAATGAGAAGATGAGGAAGGGACGAAGCGATTGAGAGGATGAGTCAGGCTCAGACATAAAAACAGGTATAGAATGTGGCGCAAAGGGAGGCGTGAGGAGAGACCGAGATCATTCAAATCTCTCTGAGAGCGTGTGTGTGTGTCTGCGTGTGTGCGTTTGTGCCTATGCAAGCACACGGCGCGCCTCTGTTTCCCTGCGTATGTGACTAGACTGTCTGTTTTTATGTCTCCGTGTGTCATTGTGTGTCACTGTTTGTGCGAGTAGTTGTCTGTCAGCGCATCTGTGTGAACCTGTGTGTGTGTGTGTGTGTGTGTGCGCGCAGAGATGCACGTGCATGCATGTATGGTGGTGTGGTGGGGACGAGGGGCAGCGAGCAGAGGAAGCAGAGACATGATATAAATAATAGCAGGGGGCTTTAATATGTATGAGGCATCCGGGCAGTGGTCCACAACATACTCTCAGCCCTCAGCCCTCACTGACTGATGGGAGAGGAGAGGAGAGGAGGGAGGGGAAGATGGGGTGGGGCGGAGGTGGAGTGGGGGCTGCATACTAACCATTCGCAGATCAATTCTCTCCTCCCTCAATCTACCATCCTTCCTCCCTCCTCTTTACCCCATTTATCCCTTTTTTTTATCCTACTTTTACTCCTCCATCCTTTTCATGTCTCCTCCCTCATCTTCTCCAACCTTTGTCTCTCCAGCTATTCTGCCCTCCCCTCTTCTGTTTCCATGTCTTCTCCCCCCTGCCTCATCTGCTATGTGTCGCTCCCAGGTTTATCCTTCGTGCTCCCGGGCCTGAAAACCAAGTGAGCCAGACAAAAAAGAAAAAAGATACCTGTGCGCCAGGGGAATGGGCGGAGGGCTGTGCCCTTGGTCAAGGTGCCTGACCTGGGCTAAGTCGGCTAAGCAACCCCACTGTCAGGGGAGTGGCCCGGGTGGTAAGCCAGGGCAGAGGGGTCAGACGGGGGGACAGGAGACGCGGGGCTGGGGCGGTCCACAGGGGCGACATGCCCTCTAAAACAAACAACCACTTATACTTTTTCACTCAGAACATTGTTTGTCTGTCCTTCCCCTCTCCCCTGTGTCCGCCTCCACTCACCAGCAAAGTATATTGAAGTGTTTTGTCCTCTCCCTCCCACCTTCCCTTCTTTCCTGTTGTGCGTTTTTCCATCTCATTGCTTGTGTCCATAAACACACTGTATATTCGCGCTCGCCCCCCTCCCCGAACCCCGTCTACCTGCCCTTTCTGGCTGTGTCTTTCTCATCATAAACCTCCTCTGTGCCCGGCCGTCCTCATCTTTTCGGGAAGGTAAACGTGGCGCTGTATGTTTAAGGTTTGGAACGTAATCTTAGATCATAAATAATTTCATTAGAATGCTGATGGCTTAGGCCCAGTTTGAGGAGATGTGATGGGTTAGGCCATCTGCTCAGCTGATAAGAACAGCTCTGTTTTATTAGCATCTCCACCAAAGCCTCGGCTGTCTTGTTTACCTAGGCAATCCCAAGGCGAATTTCATTCCTACTGCACATTTAAACTCTATTTACACACTCAGACTCTCTCGCTCCTCTTTACCACCGTCTCTCCCCATATTCCTCTGCTTTATTTTCTTTCTCTCTTGTAATTGTCTGTCTGGTTCTCGCTGTTCCTCTCTGCAGCTCCCCTTTTTGTTCTGTCTTCTCTACGTCACTTTCTTTTGTATCTCTCTGTGTTAACATGTACATTGTGTGTTTGCAAAGAAGACTCAAAAACTCCACGACAATTCAAGACAATCCTTGTCCTAATCCAACTTTATATTAACCTTCATTGAATGCCCCATGACAGGAAAGTTTAAAGAATAGTTTCAAGTCTGCCTCACATTAAGAGTAATTAGGCGTTGTAATCGTTCTTCTTCTCCTTACTTGCTGTGAATCGATCTTAGCTGTAGAGCAATGGGTGCTTTTTATTATGCTAGCATGTCTTCAAGCTTCCCTCACTTTTTTCTCTTCCCCACATCTTAACTCCTCCCAGTGAAAATGGGAGACAGAGAGTGATCTGTGAAAGGACAGACCTATGTTTCCTTATTGCAAGCGCCTTCTGAAGCCTCCTCTATCTGTAAGGCACAGCAGCTCTGCAGGAGTGGCATGGACAACGACAACAAAAACATAGAGGGAAACTGAATGAATATTTGTATATGTGGAAAATAAGAAAGGCCTTGATGAGGTCATCTTGAAAATGTGATTTTTGATTCTTTTTTATTGTGAATAATTAGTAAAAACAAAGTGAGGTGAACTTTTTCAACTTTTCAAGCTCAGCATACAAGAACAAGCTTGAGAACCACTGATTTAAGAGACTGAACTATATCTTCTGTTGCAAGAACAATTTTGGGGGTCAAGAGAGTAGTGAGAACACGGGGAGGGGGGACAAACATGTTCATGATATGAAACTCCATCAGGAAAAAAATGGAGTCAGTGAGCTCATTTTTTTCCTACAAGTCTCCAGTTCAACATTAAACAATGACTAAATATCTGAAAACTAAAAACCTATTTCCCCCCTCAAGTTTTCTTTACACTGACTTACAGGTGCAATTCAGGACATCATTGTGTGCAGGTGGAAGAAAGTATATTTATGACCAGGGCCAAAATTACAGACTATCAGTGCAACTTAACAAAGTTGAGGAAGGATTTAGTAAAATGCATCTAAAGAAAATCTTTCCATTTCAAACTTGCTTGCTGCATTTTTTTCTTTGTATTACGGTGTAAAAAAAAACCACAAGAATGTAATAACATTCATCACATGTGCAGCAATCACAATAGACTGAAAACAGTCAATATCAGTATGCAATTAAAGAATTACACAGCCTTAACAATACAGAAAGAAAGTACAACATCCATCTGAAATTAAATGAAACAATGAGCAATGATTTAAAAGCTAAGCCTGTTATCCTCTTGCATGTGTATAGATATATTTTTTATTTAATATCACATTTTCTGCTTAACAAAAAACTACTTCTGACATTATATCCCTAAGTTACAGTGATTTCATAACTGGGGACAACATCTGTTTGATTTATCTGCTCTGATAATTATACATATATATATTTAGAGATTTTTCCAGTCAGTACAGATATGAATGATAATGGTGGCCAAGGACCAATGGAGACTAATGAGATCTCCTTCATGTGAGTACTGTACTAAAAGGAAAAAAAAACCAAACATATCCTTAAAACTTATTCTTAAGTTTGTTAATGGTTTCAGCGACTGCCCTTAAACAAAAAAACCCTCAGTTACATCTGTTATTGTTACACTTGCCTCTCTCTCGCTCTCTCGTGCTGTACCCATTCTTCTTAGTTTGAAACATCTCTCTCTTATCACACCTCTCCTCCTTTCCTCCCCCTCTCTTTCTCTCTCTGGCTGTCTCTATCTATCTTCCCATCCCCCTTGGTGTTTTTCCCCCTCCCTACAATCAATGTGGCTTTTAAGATGCCTATCGATTTGTTCCCCTAGACAGGCCCAGCGCGCTGGGGCGACACTTTGATTGCTAGGCCAGTAATTACTGTTATTATTTATGCATCTGGGCAAAATGGCAGGACTTAACATTCACAGTACAAGAGGCCACAGGCAATCAACAGAGGTGAGCACCTGGAGAGGGAGAGAGGGCGGCAGAGAGAGCTAGAGAGAGAGAGAGCAGCATTGCCCCTGTGAGAGTTGTACTCCAGAGATGAGCACAGAGTGAAGTCAAAGATATTCACACTCACACACAGACACACAAACACACGCGCTCCTGGGAAGGGATATGAAAGCATAAAGAGAAGACAGGCACATGTGTGCAAATGCACTTGTAAATAAAGGATTATGTGGTCACGTGTGTGTGTGTGTGTGTGTGGGTGTGTGTGTGTTTGTGTGTGAGAGAGACATAAAGAGAGTGAGATGAGGTTGTCTTACCTGTGAGAGTCCCAGGTAGATAGAAACTGTCTCTGAGATGTAGAGGAACCGTCCCTCCTGGCTGACCACAAACACAAAGCCATCTAGAGACTGTGCACATAAACACACAGGGACACACACGTGGGCACACAAAAACACGCACACACACACACATGCACGCAGAGACGCAGACATAAAGGCAAACAGAAACAAGACAGACAAATTAGAGCAATTAGCGTGTATCGAACAAATTACAATGAGCTAGAGAACAAACAACCCATCACCCTTCGGCCTCTTCTCTCAACTGGCGAGCACGCTCACACGCAAAAAACTCACATGACGTGCATAAATGTGAATAGACATGAAACAATTCCCATAGACGCAGCTACACGCGCGACAGCTGCGAGTGAGACCTGCGTGACCGAACAAACGGTGAACAAAACAGAGGCAGACGCAACGCATGCGGTGTGGACGTCCACGAACACACACATACGCACATGCATCAAGAAAGGCGCACTTAAACAAATTCAGCAACGAGACATGAGAAACTGAGCTTATAGACCAGGGGCTGTTCCAATCAGCCGTAATAAACCAAGAGTCGAAGCTTCATCCTGGATCTCCAGCCACACACGCACACACACGGACAAATAAACACAGACACAGATAGAACCAGAGTCATTACGGCCTGCAGTGATTCTAATGAGAAGTGAAAGGTATACAGCCAGCCCATTAGAGGGGACTGCTTCAGAGAATAATATTAATCGTCATAACAAGCATCCAGGAGTGAGCTGACACAGTCTCAGCCTCACACACACATGCACACACACCAGGGCCACTTTGCTCTAGAAAAATGATTGCTATTTTGGCGGCCTAGTGCTTAAAGTGGCAGTGGTAATTTATGCAACTGACACATCCAGTATGCAAATGTGTGGCCGGTGTCACGGGCCCAGTTCCAGGGATTCGGGGTCCGTGAGCAGTCTGGACTACTATTGTAGTTATTATCATTATTATTGTGGTTATTGTTATTATGGTTGTCTGCTGTCTTGTTTTTCGTGTTGGTGTACTGTCAGGTGTTTATG